AGAGAGAGAGAGAGAGAGAGAGAGAGAGAGAGAGAGAGAGAGAGAGTGTCCTATTTACTCTTTTCCCTTAAAAGCATTGAGCCAGATGCTCTTTTAGTCAAGTGGGATTCCTTGTTGTGTGGGAACAATGGTAGGCAGCTACTGTAGTAACTGCTGCTGCTAAGCTCTAGATGGGCCGTAAGTGTTTTATGGAACTCTCTCTTGGGCTGTGTGAGCTTGTAGTTTCCATGAGTGATTTCCTAATTCCAGGGCAAGTTAACACTACCTTTTGATCAGCCTGAGCACCCTTCCTGCTACTCTGCTGTTCTTGGTACTGCTACTGCTACCATCTACTGTAGTAAAAGCACAGCATTCGCTTAAGCAATTAAAGGTGCAGTCCTATGTAAGTTTTGACAGAAGGCCTGCAATTCCCAGCATGCCCCAGTCATGGTAATCTCAGGCCTTTTTCTGTCTAAACTTGTGTGGACTTCCTTTCAAGGACTATGTAGGTAGTTGTTCTCAAGCTGCAGCCTTCTATCCACTTTCCTGGCAGTAGGTATGTACAAGATTGCACTGTGAAGCAAGAATGATCGTGCTTTCTCCCACCAAAGTCAAGCTAACTTACACATGCTAGACTTCGAACAGGCGGTGCCCACTCTGACTCTGACTTGAATTCCAATGATAAGCATGGAAGGGAGGGAGGGAGGGAGGGAGAGGACAGACCTACTGGCAGAGGCTGCAGCCTTGAACATACTGTCTAGAGAGTGAGCCCCGTTGAACTCAGCGGCTCTTCCTTCCTTCCTCTTGAACTCCAGAACTGCTTATTGCCTTTATGCTGAGTAGACACACTTACCATCACCTGTGGGAATGTGCTAGAGACTTGGGACAATCTGCAGCTCATATGCCTCCAAATTTCTGCTTTGTCCGGAACATACTGAGAAACGTCTACCAGCCATAAACCCACATCCTTTACTTTTTACTTACTTTATTCTGCTTCTAGACACCCATGGAAGGAAGGCCAGTTTTAATCCTTGGAAGTTAAGACACAGTGGTTTTAGTAGAGTTTACTTCCAAGTGAGATTGAAAACCTAATCTGTGGGTCTGGACTGGCAAATAGTATAGAATCTGGAGATAAGTTTCTTGAAGTTACATCTTTTTGAACTCAGTGGACTTACTCCCAAGTGAACCTGTGTAGGTTTGGGTGGTAGGATGCAGCCACATCTTGTGCAATTTTACTTGGAGTTTACTCTCAGCTAAGTGTCTAGAAGATTGCATCCTTAATCATGCAATTTTAGTTGTTGGGTCTAATTTATTTCACATAATGGGGTTTGATTGCTGTTCTTTCTTTTCTAAAAAAAAATTAATTCCATCTCCCTATCTTATTTGAACTGATCTCTAGCTTTTGTTTTTAAAATGTCAATTTCATAAGATGGCCATTATGTTTTTAAAAGCTTTTTTTAATGTCTTGTTTTCTTAAATGTTTAGGAGAGTTTCTTTTTATTGTGCTCTATCAAAGAAGGCTCCAAGGACATGTGGAAAAAAATAAATTAGTGGGACACAAACCTCTTTTGTCTCTATAACATCCCTCCACCCCTCAAAGGCTGGCCTCAGTTTCTCTCAACCAGGAGAATAATGCTGGCAAAAGATTATTATTGTCATGATTACTTTTGAGTGACAATGGCATAGAGAAACTGAACACCTCAGTAAAATAATTTCTGCCCTTTAATTCCAATCCTAGCCTAGAATCGGGTTGCAAAGCGTGTATCTATCTGGTTACCATTTTCAGGACTATTTCTGAGTACAAAGCGCCTCCTTGACAGTACTGAAGAAAAATAAGTACTCATTGTCCCTGCGGATTCATTGTGCAAGCTATTACCATACTGACCGCTTGGTAACCTACACCTCTAGCCATTTGCAATCTGTGCATCTTGGACCAAAAAAGGGGGGCAGGGAGGAAGCACCTACGGAGGTTTTGCTATTTCAGTGTTTAGTAAGCATTAGCCATAATACTAATCGTCATCATAATATAAACCCCTTGCCATGTGAACGATTTGCTAGTTAATGTTACTAATAAATGCCCCTCCCCACAAATGGGGACACAAACACTCTGACATGGGGAATAATCAGTTCGAATAATCGACTCAGGGCGGGCTGCCCTTCAGGGGCGCGTTGCCGGATAGGTGCCTTGCCCTCTCCTGCATCTTTCAGACCACTTGTGAGGGGGGGGGTGTTACGAGGAGGGGGGCGTTATTCTAACATTAGGGGACAAAAAGGAAGCAAAGTAAAATAAAAACACTCTTAAATGCACAGGGGTGGGATTTTCAAAGTATACAAGAATATCGTCCCCGCCACTTAAGCTCCAGATCCAGATATCTCTTCCGCACTGACCCCATTTTACTCCAAGCCCTCCCCTCCTTACCAGTCCAGAATGGCTTCAATATTAACAAAGAATTTTGCCACTGACTTCAACGGCTGAATGGTAACGTCTTTAGAGATCAGACCATCTTCTACTAAGTTCATTGAGTGGAGAGATAAAAGTGTGTGTGTGTTGGGGGGGGGTGCGTTGAAAAAACAGATTTTCGAGGCTGGGTGGCCAAACACATACCTCTGCAGGGCTGGTCTTACTCTGACAGTGTGGAATACCAAAGAACTAAGTACTTTTCCATTGAATAGTAATAATAACACCCTTGTGAGGACCAAGTTCCACCATTCAGTGTGTGTGTGTCTCCTG